GAATCCAAATCGATTGACTTACGAAACATTTTTTGCCCTTGCATCCTCCTCGACTTCTTCGTTTTTTGCCGTTGCGGTTTTTGCCCTTGCGTTTCTCGTTCTTACGTTTCTCGTTCTTACGTTTCTCGTTCTTACGTTTCTCGTTCTTACGTTCCTCGTTCTTACATTCCTCGTTCTTACATTCCTCGTTCTTACGTTTCTCGTTCTTACGTTTCTCGTTCTTAAGTTTCTTGTTCTTACGTTTCTTGTTCTTGCTCTTGCTCTTCTTTTTGCGTTTGCATTTCTTTGACCCACACTTCTTCGGCTTTTTACATGATTTGCATGACGACGATGAGCCTCTGGATTTCGTAACAATAACTTTAATACGTTTGTTCTTTTGAAGGCTGCTTGCTCTGCTTCGTTTGGCCGATTTGAATGAATTTCCCAAGCCACCTGATCCACTCCCACTGCTTCCGGATTTTAGCGCATTCGCATACGCGAATGGGTCTGGCAAGGCTATGGGTTCGGCCTCGGCTTCAGGTTCAGCTTCAGCCAAAGCTGCTGGTTCCGGCTCAGGGTCCGGGTTAGCAATGGGCTCACAAACTGTGAGCTATTTGATTGAAAATGAATAACATATTAGTTTGAAACCAATGTTAATCATTGAGTTTTTCCTTAACTTTCCTAAAGTTTTCAATTCATACTCACCACAAACGCTGTCGCAAACAATAAAAGTAGAACTTTTGACAACATTCTGAATATGATTCAATGCGTTGTCGTCGAATGATGAACAATTTTTGCCGATGCTTTTTTATATCAAGAAATTTCAACTTCAGTAGAACCGAATGTCTCATCTAAACTTCGTATATGATTGCTTTATCAGTATTTACACAATTGCAAAGTATTGAAACCAAATTTAATTGGGCTAAATTCTAAAAATTATGTCAATAAAATCAACAAGATATGCTTTTTATTTACATGTTTGTTTTCGCTATTGTTATTTCGACAAATATATGGAATTTATTTTGAATATTCTACCAAGGTGGTCCGATGCCCAGCGGTCAAAGTAAACAAGTCTCGACTTTTATTTCCAGCAAACACACATTTTCAGATGACCGAGATCAATTGGTTTAAATTATTTGCCGGGTTGAATCATAAATATTTGATGAGCCTCATAACCCTGTCGGCAGTAAATAGCTGTTGGTTGCAAAGACCTTTCTTAAAAGTTGAGATTGTATCTCAAATAGATGTTTATTTGTGAAGATTTTGATATAAAAATGCATCGGCGAAAAGTGTTCATCATTCGACGACAACGCATTGAATCACATTCGAAATGTTGTCAAAAGTATTACTTTTAATATTTGCGACTTCGATCGCGGTGAGTATAAATTGAAAACTTTAGAAAAGTTAAGGAAAAACTCAATCATTGGATTCAAACTGATATTTATTTTCATTCGAAAAGCTCACAATTTGTGAGCCCATTGCTGACCCGGACCCTGAGCCGGAGCCGGAACCAGCAGCTTTGGCTGAAGCTGATGCGAACCCCGAAGCACTAGCTTTCCCAGACCCATTGGCCAATGCATTTTTTAATGGGGGTGGCGGAGGTAGTCTATTCACTAAGCTCGATTACTCGATTTTTTTAAAGAAACTAATTAAATACTCAATTAATAACCTTTAATAATAACTTAGGATTATTTAGCAAAGGCAGTGGAGGTGGTGGTCTATTTACTGGCAAAACAGCCAAGCGAAGCAATGCAAAGAGCCTTTAAAAGAACAAACGTATCAAAGTTATTGTTACCAAAAACGGATCGAAGAAAAAGAAGCGCAGAAGACGAAGCAAGTGCACGTCGAAGGAATGCAAACGTAAAAGAAATAGAATAAAACGCCGGAAGGGTAAGAAAGGCAAAAAAGGTAAGAAAAGCAAAAAAGGCAAAAAAGGCAAAAAAGGCAAAAATGGCAAGAAGCGAAGACACCGGAAAAGAAAAGGATGCAAGGGCAAAAAATGTTTCGTAAGTCAATCGATTTGGATTC